AATTGAAAAGACTAGTCCAGAGTAGGTTTCAGCTGTACCTGGTACCTTTTACAATCGCCTATTGCATTTTGAGAATAGCTTGGTTTAAAGGAATACATTCACACATCTATTTTACCGTATCTTTCAATTATTCTGGAGAATGTCTAAATTGGCTTTATCTGTAACAATACTACCTAGTGCGTCGTCAGCTCACTTCGCGATTGTGCTTATCTGTGGTCATGTAGTGCACTTCGTTCTATCAAACAATGCTTTATAAGCATCAGCCGAGTGGTTAGACTAGCTAAAGGACAACATCTGTTCAACCTTTCCGCCTCGCGATGAGTCGCGCACCCAGAATAAACTTGTAATCCTTTACGTCTCACTGATGCCAGTTTAGGAATCTCTCTTAGACCCTAGTAAAATAAAAGGCTCACCAGCATTTGCTATTTTCGTTTTTGTCTGCATTAGGTATGTATCCGAGGCCAGGTTCGATGTGCTTTAGTTTCTTTAATGTCACCTTGTATTCCCTTATTCTTTGTGAAGCTAGCAATTTTTTTATTAAGGGAGCAACGAAAGCTTCTGGAAAAGTGCGCCACGACTGCACTTAGCTCAAAGCTTGTTGCTGGTCAGAAAACATTTTTTGCTAACCTCGTGGTCGATGCGGTCAGTTTACTGGACTCATCTTTGCCTCTCCGGATGATTGGAATCAAGAAGGTATCTATTAATTAATATATTAATCCCGTAAGGTACCTGGTGGCGCTTTAGAGGACACGATGCTCGTTGCGGGGGTTGCATTCAAAAAGACCTTTTGTTATGCTGGATTCGAAATGCAGCCCAAATCATACACGAACCCCAAGATCGCGCTTCTAAATATTGAACTTGAGCTAAAGGCAGAGAAGGAAAATGCCGAGGTACGTGTCAACTCGGTCGAAGAATACCAAAAGGTTGTGGATGCTGAGTGGAATGTTTTATACGAAAAGTTAGATATTTTGCACAAAAGTGGTGTCGATATCGTCCTCTCAAGATTGCCAATTGGCGATGTAGCTACCCAGTACTTTGCTGATCGTGACATGTTTTGCGCTGGAAGAGTGCAAGAAGAAGATCTTAAGCGAACCCAGATGGCTTGTGGGGGTTCAATCCAGAGCACCGTCAATGGCTTGGACATTAGTGTACTTGGGAATTGTGAGTCTTTTGAGGAAATACAAATAGGCTCAGAGCGGTACAACATCTTCAAAGGTTGCCCTCAAGCAAAAACGTGCACCATTATTTTGCGAGGTGGCGCCTGTCAGTTTATGGAAGAGACCGAACGTTCTCTTCATGATGCCATAATGATAGTTCGTCGAGCAATGAAAAATGATTCAGTTGTGGCAGGTAATATATAACTCTATTATCATTTGATGTCGAACAAAGTTGTATTATTAAATATTCTTACAGGGGGAGGGGCTGTCGAAATGGAACTGAGCAAAACGTTGCGGGATCACGCGCGCTCTGTATTCGGCAAGGAACAGTTGTTTATCTCCGCCATGGCCCAAGCATTTGAGGTGATACCACGCCAGCTTTGCGAAAACGCTGGCTTTGACTCAACCAATATTCTCAATAAATTGCGCCAGCAGCACGCTATGGGTAAGCTACGTTAATTTCATTTATCTCTTATACTTCAGTTTTACCTAGCCCTTGCCCCCCAGTAATCTTTGGTTAAAAATTTGTCTTTATTCATGTTATTTCAGGTGATATTTGGGCAGGTGTGAATATTCAAGCCGAGGACAGCGCTAACAACTTCGATCTTTGTATTTGGGAGCCAGCTTTAGTCAAGGTTAATGCTATCACCGCTGCCACCGAAGCTGCATGCCTTATCCTCACCGTTGATGAAACCATTAGAGGGCCACAATCTAAGGCTCCTGATGACGACAGGCCAGTCAGAGGCGGCTAAGCTCTGCATTTGTCGTGTTTCAAATTTTTAGAAAAATTAACATTTGTGCCAATATACTTCCGTGCTCGTTCTTTTGGGTGTCCGTCCCATGGCAGATCCATTTTGATGTACCCTTGGATAATATTTAATAGAGTCCGTCAATCAGTCTAATCGGAGTAACTTCGTTCAAATGCGCCCCATGTGTGCCGTGCCGCGATTCTATTAAATGTGGTGGTTCGGAATATCGAATGGCGGGAAGCCATGCCTTGCGGTGATTCCCCAATTACCCTGATGCCGTCCCACTTGCTGCTAGTGGCCTTGTCTTATATTCTTTATGATTTAGCTAGCATTCCACATTTTCCTTATATGATCACAGAAGGGTTTAGTTGGTGTGGTTGGGACTGCTTCTATTATTAGCTGGAGCAGTTGTATTTGGAATTCTGGTGGATGCCAACGGGTATCATCCACGCCCACCGAACTTGCGTGTCGTAGGGTGCCTCGAATACAGTTAAGTCACGAGCATGGGATAGGGTTGTTTCCAGCTCCTTTCTGTGGTTTCCTGCTCTGTTGTCGGTCGTGTAGCGGACGAAAGTTCAACATTGGTTGAGTGTTTTCGTATGACGGACCGATGACGTTTGTACAATTTATAGTCGATTCCGGCGTCTTCCAGATAGGCTTGGACTCATGAAATAGGCACCAGTGTCCGTCCTCCGCCTTGGGCGAGCCTCCTGCGCTCTAGCGTAGACGTGGTGCGGACTAAGCTACTTAGTCCGTTTATCAGTTTTAATTGCAGGGTTCCCCAAGGCTACTGGTAATCGCGGCAATTACCCACTCAATCTTGCCCAGTAATCAGAAAAAGAGTGAGAATGCTTGGGGAGTAAATTTATTGGTACGAGACAACGCCAAAACCCGGGACAGGGTCATCCTGAAGATAGATTGAAACAGATGGATGCGACAGTACAATGTATGTATATGAAAGACGGACACGATGAGATGGTCAAAATAGGCGGGGTTGTGGTCTAATAAGAAGACTCCATAGGGTGGTGAGCCGGGATTTGAGCGACCAGACCGACTGGCGTACGGGGATCAGAAGACGTCTTTGATGTCGCGGAGATGTCTGATAGTTAGGTCATACGGGAGGCTGAAATGATAACGCGAGAGGCGACTCAAAGAGGTGAAGGCATCCTCGAAGCCTGGAAATATGGAAATAGACACCATGAGATTTATCAATTATATGGAGGGGGAGGGAGCCACCTTAAGTTGAGAGTTCTATTATACTAGATTAAGAGGTTGGCACAGATCTAATGGGCTTCTTGCGTATAATTTGTTATCCAAAATGATAGTCCAAATGGGAAATTACAGTTTTCTAATCTGAGTGGAGATAGTGAACTACTAAGAAAAATTAACATTGCATAAAGTGAAAAAGCCAGTCTACAGTAGGTATAGATAAGTCTAGGATTAGACTAATAAGTCGGCCATGATTTTTATAATAACAAGAATATTATGTTAAGCGAAGAGCCATGTCGATGTGGGTTTCCAATGCAAACTGTTAAAGTAGGCGGCAAGAGGTATTTAAAAGTAAAGGATGGGCGGAGAGCCGCCCATGACAATTGCTTTCGACGGGTGGTAACGTGGAAAAGGGGACCTTAAAACTTACACCTAGAAAATTTTGAATCAATCTACTCTCATACCAACTGTAAAATCTGCAATCGTAAAGGTTACAACTCAGTAGAACGGCTGATCACTACTATCGCTTAGTATCTGGCTTAGCCAGGATGGAATAGAAGATAAGGCCTGTGGTAAGGAAGATGTATAGGTAAAAGAATGAACAATGCAGGGTAGATGTAGCTCAATATTAATAGTGCACTAGTTTACTTTGTGGCGTAAGGAAGGAAGATCAGAGAGCGGAGATATGATCCCAAGGGAGGATCACTGATTAAATTATACGTTATATTAAAATGGAACGAATGGTTCGCGGAGGATTAAGTGTCGGTCATATCTAGAAAGTAGACGCTATTTCCCGAAGAGGCTAAGATACGGGAAGGATGCAGCGAGTGCATGTTCGCCAAAATTCTGTGTAAATGCGCAAAGCAGAAATGCTGTAGTTATTTGGGGGGATGTCGTGAGGGGGGTAGCTAGCCAGGGAAGTTCATTTTGACTCCTCTTCGATGTAGGGGACCTTACATTTTTATATTCTGCGACTCAAATGGAGACATTTCTGATTAGAAGAGAGGAGGTGCCGGCCTAGTGCTTGCGTACATACAAATGAAGGAACAAAATGCTTTTCGATTAGCAAGCTGTGCCTTTTCTAGTATAAATGTGTGGATAGGAAGATGGAATGATGCTCACGGCTTTAGTGACATTAAGGCGATAGAAGGGGTGTTAAAACAAGGTTTTAAAACCGCTGTCAAATTTACCTAAAGATGAAGTATGGAAGTATGCTTTGGGCAATGATGACGCACCAAGCCCGAGTTCTGACTGGGAATTAAGAGGCGATACAAAGACTTGGAGTATCAATAAGATAAAATGGTGTGCACATTTCTAGCGCTAGCCGAAAATTTCAAATCGAGAAATGACTTGAAGTAGCTAGCAAGGCAGCACTTGGTCTGACGAGTTAATGTTGCGTCCTATAGGTTGGGAAACGGGCAACAGGAAAGGGCTTGAAGTTCGCTGTTTGATCGGCTTTTCTGTGGTCCGTAATTGTGACGAGATAATGGGTAACCAAAATCTTATTCAACTAAATCATATAAATGATAATTATATGCTAGTTTTTAATTATTATGCTTTAAAAAATGTGTCAGGCATTCATAAAGCATAAATATTCCCCTTGACCCGATAGAAAAAAGCTAGCATACGCCCATAGAAGTGATGAATGCCATCCAAGATACACATACCGTGCTTCCTTCGCAGCATCCCATCATCTACCATATCCATATATCACTATTATTTAACTACGAGACCACAGAAGCCTAGAAATCGTTTGGGTAGTAGAATGGCTGCCCTATGATGTTGCCAAGTATAATGAATTTAATAAAGAGCAAAATAATAATTTAGCTTCACCTTTCTCTCAATTAGCCTCAGCGGTTAGGACGTGTAACAACATATAAACAGTAGGGTCGAATAAAAATCAAAACAAGTCAAAACTGGTATGCGTCAGCAACTAGGGCCCTGAAAGATACGAATAAAAGTATTGTACTCTGGAGAGGCCTAGTAATGAGTGAAAGGACTGACCTGTTGAAAAAGCATAGCTCCAAGGGTGATAAAATGAATTGAGAATCAAATTATTTCGCAATATAAGACGAAGCCATGGAACAAGCATCCGTTCACTAGTTAAAAGTAAGGCAAATATGAAATAAAAAACATAAGTGATATTAAATCTATTCGATTTTGTAGCAGTGAGTTTAAGGTAGATTGAAGATAAGATATTAACTATTTTGCTAAAGGAAAATAAACGGAATAATTAAAAATTAGTTTTTATAGGTCCAGATGTAAATTTAAGCTCTCCGAGTGAAAAGCCATGTTAAACAATGATTTGCAAGTTAGAGGGTAATTGAAGCATTGATTCTTTATCTTTCTAAGCCCAGGTTTGAAATTTGGGTTAGTTACTAACTCGCGATCCAATCTTGACTCAAATGACGGGATTCTCCTAGTTATCAAATAGCCCTGATATTATCCAAGATTTAAGATCGGCTGCCATTAAAGTTTGACTAAGTTGTTTGAAAATTTGCTTTGGATTAATGTTGTTTGCGTGCTGAGCTGGTTACCAAAGATCTGAAAAGACCTCGGAAAAACCAAATGCGCTATCTTCAGCAAATATTTCAAAAGGCTTATGTTTGCCAGGTACAAGAGATTAAGGTCCAGAAGCAATGCTGGAAATAAAAAATAACTTATCAAAGAATCTAGGCTCAGATGACCTGACCACATCAGCCACATTAGCCTAAAGTCCGACAATGTATCGGAGATTCAATCTGAACGTGCGAGACCTCAGCATAATCATGGCTGCGACTGAGGTCTTTATGAGTATAGAAATCAGGGAAATAAGCGTAAATCTGTTAGGGTAAAGCTAAACCATCCCATCCTGCGCTGAGTAAAAAAGGCGTTTCATGTGTCAGAGCTATTCCATTCTAAGACTGGATTTTCGAGTCTTCGCATCAGGAATTAAATAAAAAAAGAATGAAAAGAAATTTAGAGCGCGAGTCTGGGCTGGGACCACTTAGTTTGTGTACTTTAATGTAACAGGTATCGTAGGCCATAATGAGCCTTGGTAAACATGATCATCACAAAAAGGATTGGTTTGACCACACTTTAGCAACTTGGTTGAAGCGACAGGGAGATATTGTGGAACTCAGTCAAAAAAAACTATACAGCGAAAGGAGACGACGACCAAAAGAAGGCCACACCATCTTAGGCTTATAACTAGGACTAGGTGGCAATCTGATTTTCATATAAAAATGCAAGTGCATTTTTTTATGTGGAAAAAAATTGTTTAAAGCGAATAAAATAATTTTACAGAAACAGAACTATTTAGGTCAATTGTGCCACGTAAGCTTTAAGAATGAAATAAAGTGCGCTTTAATATTTAAATAAAGGCCCAAAAGACTTACTTTAAGGCTATGCTGACGAATGCTTTGAACTGAGAGTCTTCGCTACGCTTGTGTTTTGCGTGGAGTTGTAGGACCATGCCCATTGCGCTCAATAAATGCTCAAACAGTCAAGAAAACAAATAAGTAGGAATTAATAATAAAAGAAGGAAGATTTTAAATGAAATAAAATAAAAAATAGTATAAGTCAAAAATGGCTTAAGTTTTCTCTCATACAACCAAATAAAAGCACTAATTTCAATTTCCATTTTATACCAAAGTTTGTAGATCCTTCGAAAGGTAGACTTCGCTAATATAAAAGAGATGGAAAAACTTAGCTCACACTTAGCTGACACTCTCAATGCTGGGAATGATACATTGATAATTTAAGTAATATAGCAGAGCTCTGAGCCCAACTTAGACTTGACGTGCGGTAATCAT